TTAAGTTGGCTTGAGAAAGCCAACTTACTGATATTGTATTTAAACTTCTTCTTCTTCTTCTTCTGACCAAAAATTTAAACAGTATCTCCTCCTAGAGCTTTAAAGCTAGAACCACCAAACTCGGCCCAGACCTTCAGACTGTTCTGACTCGGGTTGCTATATCTTTTCAGACCGATCCGGCTTACGGTTTTCCTAAAAATGACGATTAAACCTGGGAAAAATCCCATAGACTTTTATTGAACAGTCTTGGCTGATCTGAACATTCCGTCAAACTCCAACTGTCAAAATTCAAATTTAAACACACTGACTCAATTAAAGTGCCATACCATGTACTATTTCTAAGTTAAAGCTAGAACCACCAAACTCGGCCCAGACCTTCAGACTGCTCTGACTCGGGTTGCTATATCTTTTCAGACTGATCTGACTTATGGTTTTCGTAAACCAGACTATCAAAACCACCTAAAATCTCATAGACTTTCATTTTAAAAACTTTTATACAATCAGACTTATGGTGTTTTTAAGCTGTCTACTGCCATAGTAAAGCTTAAACTCTCCCTACTGAAAAAACAGCTAAAACCAACCTAAGCTGATTGGCTGCTTTGGCTGGTCTCCCAGGCTGGTTTTAAAGTGGTTTTGGCAACTTTTTAGCTGGTCAGGCTGGTCTTAGCTGGTCAAGCTGTGGGTCGACCCGTTAGCATTTCATGCTTTGTTAAGTGAGTGTTCCTGTTAGTTTGCATGCGATAACTCATTAGTGCAAGAGGTAAAGCATCAATCCAGTTAAGTTTAGTACTTTTCTCTTGTTAGAAATTTAAGTACTGTTCCTGCTCCCTGATCTGCTGATGGTACTGCCTCCACCCATCTGCTAAATCTGTCTATGATCACCAGCATGTACCTTTTGCCTTGTACTCGCTTTATCATATCCACATAATCCATTACCAGATGCTTAAATGGTCCTTCTGGTACTGGTGTATGGCCTATTGGTGTTGTTATTCCTTTTCTCACATTATTTTGGCACAAACTTCACATGTGGCCAGAAATTCATCTACCATTG